AAACTGGAAGTGTAAATGACCGAGTTGTTCATTGGAAGGGTAAAACTGAAGCGACCAGTTTGGCACCACCTGCTATCCTCTAAGTAATTTTTGATAAAGATCCAAATTTCATCCAGGAAACACTGGTAGCAAAAATGATCCAAAAAAAAAAAAAATTATAAAAAAATTCAGACACGCAGTCTGATTCGTTAGCTCATCTCATACACTTCGATTTGACCTAACCTGGTATGAATTTATTCCTGAAATTAGCTGATTGGATATGTTCCATCGTCCTTTTTTGTTCAGCGAAAAACGCACATCGAATGCACCGATATCGAATGGATCATCCGCTTCTACCACAGAGAATAGCTCCGGATCCTCCACCTGAAATCCAAGCTTTGACTACTATCATGTGTCAATATGAATTTATTATCTAAGTGAATCAACTGAGCGTCTGATTACCAAACTAGCAAAAAACAACGAAGAAATTCTAGGCTGTGATCCATTTCGCAGCTTTTTATTGTTTCATATGAAATTAATTTGCAAAAAAAAAAAAAGAGAATCAGCATTTTTTCTTTCAAAGAGAATTACCTGAGTGTGCGAAGTAGCTGTGAACAAATCCTCTCTAACAATATGTTTCAAAATATAGTCCGATGGGCAATCTCTGCAAAAAACGTTTTATACATCAATAATAACAAATCCGCTCCGTCTCCGATGGGGTTATCCCATGTAGTGATGCTTCTGGGATGTTTCATTTCACTGCTGCACAGCTATGCCAAACCATGTTATCTACACGTAACTTGAATGGGTTTCAAACCTATAGCAAGTCGCTGGCATCTCGTTGCATTAGCAGCATGTCGTGGACGAAGCTCTCTTCTGCTAAAAACGTGGACTGGGAGGGTACCGAGCATCTCATTTTTGCTCTCTCCAGTTCTTGCGAATCTTGGCATGTTATCCATTACACTATCAGCCCTTGAGCATCAATTAACAACTGCAGCGTACGTTTATGAATGCCATTCACGTCATAGGCGAATCCAGGGCGATCTCCTGGTGCGGGGAGAGGGGGAGATGGGGGAGGAGGAACCGGGGCTACTAGTGCAGCGACGGCCGGGTAGGAGGGGGATGTGAGGCTCCTGGAGGATGGAGGCGACGGAGGTGCAGAAGAGAGTTTTCTTCAGTTTTAGCTTTATACCTAAGTACTTGTAGCACTGGTAACTGTGCTGCTGGAGGGAAGACGGTGGGGAGCGAAAGGCCTATTATTCCCCCGTCATGTCCGTCAATAATTCATATATACACCAATATCCTTCTGCTGCGACCAAAGCAGCCACCATAAGCAGCTCAAACTTTTTTTTCGTGAGTATCCGCGACAGGAGATAACACCAGAGTATAAGCTTGACTCGAGTTTTTTGGTTGGGAAATACGCGAATCCTAACGCATTATGGAAATGAAATCAGCGAAGTGAGTGAATAAGTTAGCTGTGGGAAATACCTGCGCACTTTATGATGGCCCACTTTGTAGTCTCGTTGCTGATGAAACGAAAAATATTCCTCACTAGATTCTTCGGTCATTGCCACGCAACACTGTACGCTTCAGAAACTGCAAAAAACCGCTATAATCAAATTTGCCAGAGCACTTGGTGCGGGAATTCGATGTTTCCCCGGAATGTAACTAGTCACACCAAAAAAAAGTACCAATCGCTCTCTTGTTTCACGCTCGGGGATTATCGAACAATGCGTTGAGATGCAAGGGTATCCCAGCCCGGAATGCTTCCCCAATGACAGCGAGATGTTCGTGCTTTTACAGGAACAACTTTCACCAATGTTTTCACTAATTCATTTGAAAGATCTATAGGTATACAGTGTGTATATTATATACGTTCTACTGCGTCATCTGTATAAGATGCCGACAACTTAACG